CCCCAAAACCCCAAAACCCCAAAACCCCTTGAGTGAGATTATATCAGAATTAGATTACTTTCTTTAATGATAAAAATCAAAAATACTCATTTAAAAAGCCAATTTTAATCTCTTTTGGTTTTACAATCTTCGAATAGCCCATGTTATCATTGAAATTTATGAATACAGTATATTGTTTAAGCCCTAGATAAAATCCTAAATCTCTTCTTAGAGTTTTCATTGTATCATTTTCTGACATTAGAGTCATGCAGCAAATACAATAGCATCTGTGGGGTACTTACCTCCCATTTTAGGGGATTGGATATAAACAAGTAAAGAAGTATTTTTTATGTTTGATACATTTTTATCCGCAGTGATTAGTTATTGGCACATGCTATGAGCATAAGTCACAGACAAAGTTACCTTTATCCTTTTTAATCAATTTCAATGCATGCGATCCTTTGAAGCACATATTCTATCTTAACCTCAATAATCTCTCTGTGGCAATATCTTTTACAATCTACCGAGACACTAAAGCTTTGAGAGCTCGGCAATAAATATTTGTAAACTCTGTATTTGACTTATAAGGGCAATCGTTTTGGAGATATTATTTTCTCCAGAAATGCTTGCATTTAGAGTTGAGTGTCATTGTCTTATTATCACACACATCGCAAACCTGATTGAATATAAGATACAATGACATGCAAGTTTTCTCAAGCTTTAGAACTGATAACGTCTCTAGATATTCTACCACCATGAACCATATGTCATGTGGAAACGCATAGACTTAAGTTCTTCTTGGCTTTAATGGCTTCAATATCTTGTTTGGAAATTTCCTTTTAAGTGCTACTATTCTAAGTTTCAAATCAAGCGGAGTGCTTTATGCATCAATATCTTCATCCAGTCCCAGCAAATCAGCGTACTTGTTAACCATGTCTTTTTCCTTTTTGTGAATTTTTTCTAGCATCATACTTGACTCAGCCTGCTTGATGTATCTCTCTAATTTTTTTCTTTCATATTCTCGCTCCTCTTCTTCTCTTCATCTCTTTCGTTCTTATATTTTGTCGACAACATGGTTTGTCTGCAGAGATGAAGTTTTAGAATAAAAGCTATTCATAATGTCATTCATATTCTTTTGGAATTGCTCCATAATTTCATCCTTTTTATATTTGTTTTCAAAATGCTCTTTTCTCTCCATTTTACTTTGTATTTTAAAAGTTAAACTTATTAACTTTATTCATTTAATAAGACGGACTGACTATGATTTAAGAAATTAATGCAATAATACCTAACTCATAGCATTTAAAATATCAAAAATCCTAATTCTCGGCCCACCCCTTAACCTTAATCATCTACTATTCTCTGATCTTAAATGCATATGTCCTATTCTACCTCTCTTTATCTGTAATCTGTTATTCTAGTAACTGAATCTTCTTGATTAGATTTTGTTTGTTTTCATCCATCTCTCTTTTTCTACTTGGGCTTAGTTTAACGTTTTCAGGATTTACTCCTTGAAATTAACCCTCTGCCCCTTCTACTCCTAATACTTTTCCTTCTGCTGCATTTATCTTCATCTTGAGTTCTTTGCATTTATCTTCTAGTCCAAGCATCTTTGAGTGAGTCTTCCTCTTGTTATCTTCGAAGCCTTTAAGTTTTTCCTCTAATAACTTATTTTTATCTCTAAGTTCTCTCATCTCTCCAAGCAACGCTCTTACTTTGCCAGGGTAATTCTTAGAGTCTCCGATTTGCTCCAATGCTTTACTCTATTCAGTTTAGATGCGCTTAAGTGCAGCCTATTCTCCTTGCAACTCTTAATGCCTTTTCTCTGTAAGTCTCAGCTTTGATTCTAGTTCATTTATCTTTTCATAGCCAACAGTCTACGCCTAATTATGCATCTTCTTTGCCTTTGACTGTTCTATCTACGCTCTCACTTACTTCAGCCTTACATGCAATTACTGTAGCTCTTTATCCTTCTGCTGAAGTGAAGATTGCTGTATGTTCAACAGATTGGTATATTCCTTGTCCTTGACTAATTGAGATTATTAGTTTGATTTTATAATATCGAGTAAAAATTACTTTTAAGAATACTTTCGAGTTGCATTATAATCGGTTCGTGATCACACTTCTTTGCTTCAAACTCATTTTTCCTTCTTTACTCATATAATCTTAATTTGGCTCCAAGTTCATCAAGCTGTTAATTTAAATCTAAAAGCTGGTCTTTCAAGATTTGATTTTAAGAATTAAGATTATCTACAATCAAGCTAAAAGATTAAACTTAATTCAATTTAATACTCTTTGCCAACAAGAACGCTCTCAAAATCTCTTTGCTGATATTCACTATCATAATAATCAGTATTTGCCTTAGTTTCCTCATATTAATAGGAACTGGGATCATTAATATAAATCTAATCTTGATTAAAGTTAGGCTAATATTTTTATGGCGATATTTAATCAAAGTCTTGATGATCGTTGCCACTGCTATAAAGCCCTCTTAGCATATTTTAAATTGCACTAAATGTAGCCTTTGAATCTGAAAATGATATAAAACCAACACTAGAATAAACTACTTTGACTAGTTTGAGAGAGTGCTGTTTCACTTCTTTGATGAGATAGCTTCATTTCTAATTTAGTTTGATTAGTTTCAGTAATTAAACTTAGTTACTTTAATTATATATTAGAATATCAATCCTTGATAAGTTATTGTTTATACGTTTAATTATGTTTATAATAATAAACTCATTTATTGCAGCATAACGACTATGTTACATTATAAGTAATCAATCTAAACTTAACTGAGGATTTTGGATTCCCTTGGATATCTGGTCTAGCATTTGATCTCTAAACTTTCTTAAGGCGTCTCTGACATCATTTACTTGCTTCTTAACAATTTCTTTTAAAAGTGGAGCTAGTTCTGATAGAGCGGTGTCTGTCATATCGTCGAACCAACTTTTTATAAATATTCCATTATCGGGCTGCAGTTAGAAATTTTCTGCGACATTATCTACGATAATAGTCCTTGAGAGATCTCTACCGATTCTAGAGAGATCCTTCACGAAAACATGACCGTAAGGCAGTGCATGCTACCTGTAAAGTCTGTAAGTGATATGCTTTTCTTTATCAATTTGATCTAGTACCCAGTCAGCATACTATAATATGTTTAACAAAAGGTTATTTTACATCCTGCATTGCTGCTGTAAATATTACAACTTCATAGATTTCACTCATCTCTTTTAAAAATTTATCACATCCTGGCCTTACCAAGAAGTTGCCTTCGCTTCCAATCTATAATTATAAAAATAGCTATTATTACTTCAAAGTAATGCACTAGAGTCTCATCAAGATCCAATACTAAAGTATAGACATTACTTTCCTTCAAGGGTGGAAGATATGGGGCTTCAACCAATGGAAGGGCTTCATAACCGCCTATTGCTGTTCCACCAACTCCATACAAAGGAGGTAATGAAGCATATTATTTCATGAATTCGATCTCTTCACTAGCTTTAATGATGATATTTCTTGTCTAAGTAACAGTCTGAGATTCAATATTTTTCATTGATTTATTTATGGCTGAGTATAGTGGTTTTAGAGGAGGCCCTTAAATTAGATGTTATTTCATAGATGAACCTTTAAGACCTTGCAGTTTTTTCTGGTTTATTTATGAACTGATTGGTAAACTTACAGCTTAAAGAGTGCCTTGCTATTGAGTCCCTTGTCTTACAAGATTTCTGAGTAAATTTATCAAATTCTCATTATTCTACCTCATTATCACTAAGGCACCTTCATTTTTCTTTGATTTCTTTCCCCTCTTAGTCTTTAATATGTTCTATAGTTAAACAGCAAATGAATTTTCAAGGGTCTCAACAGGCAATTTACTCAAAACTAAATCAACAACATTGAGGAAGTTTTGATAAACGTAGTTCAGTAAGTTTTTTACTTAACTCATCTACAAATGGGTGGGCCTCATTAGCTCAGGAGCGTTAGTAAAGTAATTAGCAACTGCTACGGCAAGTATCTCTAGCACCATCAAGACTTTGATTTCTTTCTTAGTTTTCTCTTCCTTAAATGCTTTCTCAAATTTAGAGATTGAATATTCGTCTTCATCAGTCATTTCCCACCAATCAGAGCATAATTAACTTACTTATTGATACTTTGATTGTCGCAGGTTTTCCATTAAAGATACTAGCTTATCCTCAACTTTTATAAGATTCTCCAGATTTAATTGTATGTTAGTAGTCTTGAACTCAGATGCTTGATTACTCTACTGCTGATCTGACAATTAATTCTTATCACTTACTGCATTACCAATACTTTTCTAATTATTACCTTTTATATGTAATCTGTCATCATCTGAACTAAATCCTCCCACATTCTCATTTAGTTGGTTGATGACACTATTTCCTCTTGAACTACTGATACCATCAACAGAAATATTCAATTTTTCTTCGGTAATTTTGCTTAGCCTCAAATTATTATCGATGCTTTTGCCACTAATCATATTTGATTTGTTCGAAATCTCAACTGAGAGATTCAATCGATCATCCGATTTTAATAACCCGTGGCCAGATTACTTCTTGTTGTAAATTTGGTCTTTTGGAGTCTTAGATTGATTTATTGATAGATTTAGAGGGACAGATTTATTCTTATAGGGAGTAACATCAATTTGATTATTTCGCTCTTTGCTAGTATTTACTCTGCTTCCTGGGGAGTTTAAGCTCATTAAGAGATCAGCTGTAGGTTTATTGATCATAGGGTTGATTTAACCAATGATTCTCTACTTACTAGGTCTCTTAGTCTGATTAACATTTTAAAGCTAATTATATTAGTTATTCAGGTGATATAGAGTAGAGTCTGCTGGATTATTGTTAATTTGCAACTAAGACATATCTTTTGCCTTCATTTGAGAATTATGAGACAAAGGTTGTAAAATAGAGTTGGGATTATTCTGAGGAGTTCTCATATTTTATAGTATTTAAGTAACTGAGCTTCCTGTGCCAGCAATACCATTGCTGTTTTGATTGGTAGCACTTTAGGGACTCATTTGAGACATTTATTTTCCATTCTTCATTGTTGACGGCATAATTAAATCTAGGCTTAATTCTTGAGGTTTGACAACTTTTATTCCATTACCGTTAAGAGGATTCAGATTTAATTGCTTTTTATTCATAGCAGCATCATGACTGTGATCTCTTTACCCAGAATTGCCATTCGAGGCACCAACATTTTGAAGTTATATTACTGGATTTTGCAGCTGTGTCTAGGCATTATTATTGCTCATATATAAGTCTAAAAAGTAAGTTAAAATTTGGATTTATTCTGAGTAAGGATACTTACCTTTTAAATGATTTCTGAGACTAGAATGTCTGATTTACTGATTACTATTATTGCTTATTTATTTGGGGGCTTTTGCATTTTAGAGGTAAGCACTTAAGCTTCCTATTGCTTATGGGGTGCCATTTCCAATTTAAGTTATCGGTTATTAATCTTTTCCACTTTAGTTTTAGCCAGGAAGTAATGGTCTAGTTTGAATATTAGGGAGTTCTTTTAGAATGGCATTTTGCTGAGCCAAAGTTGAAACAGTATTATTGTTAATTACCTTTGTTTTCATCTTTAATTTATAAATAAAAAAGCTACTCAAAAAACATTCCTTTTAATATTACACAATCAGAATTTCAATATCTCGGGGTTTTGGGGTTTTGGGGTTTTGGGGTTATTGTATCTA